GTTTTTCAACATGTGAAAAAATAATATTTAATATAAATATTTGATGTTTAAAAACTTATTTTTATATAAATTTTATTTAATGGAAAATATATACAAATAGGCATGTGACAGTGCTGAGAGCTCACAATATCACACTTTAAAATCTTTTGGATGTTTGTTTTGGATAGCCAGAACAGAAGCGACTGAAGTCTGTCTGGTTAAAGGTATTCAAGCAGTCCGGGCATGTCACAGCAGTAAGAGTCGCACCGTGACCCTGTCACACATTTAGAGAGAGAAAAAGGTCAGGAAGAGCAGGAGAGAGCCTCTGACATGACTGGGGGTTTGAGAGGCTCTGAAAAAGGATTTGAGGAGCTGTAGGTTTGTGTGTGTGTCATTCCAGACAGAGGGAAGACAGTGGAATGTAAGAGCTGGGATCAGAAGGCAAAGTCCATGTCTCCTGAGCTCTGATTGGTCCTTGTGTGGTTGGAATGCATAAAAATGTGTGAGCGGAAATAAAAGAGCTGGAATGTTTCTCCAAATGTCATATCTCAGTTTTTGTTTGGGCTTCCAGTATTACTAATAACCGTTTATGTTCAATACCTGAGATATTTTCACTTTGGATACGTTCGTACAGCAGTTGAATAGGGCCCATTATTTTCTCTTCACATGACACAGAATTTAAATTTTTTTTAATTTATATTTTTTTCTATTTGACGGTATGAATCGGACATTTTTAAATTCCCAGGACTCTTAAACAGCAGTAATTTTCTGTTTTCTTCTTCTTCTACTTCTACTACTTTTTCTTTTTAGTCAGGGAAACCGATCTGAGGTTCTTTTTTCGTATTTAATTCATATTTTTGTTCTTAAACACTGAATGTCATCAGTTTTGGAATTAATATGATTTTTACATCAATCTACATTTGCATTTAGCATAATATTGCGGTTGATTTACTTTTAAAATAATTCATGAATTACACTATATTAAGTATTGCACAAAAAAAGGCAAATATAAATATATGCATATATTTAAAATATATTAATATTATTCGGTAAGTTATATTTATTATAATAATTGGTTGTTATTATTATTGGATGTACACTATTGATCAATGGCTTTGAGCAACAACAGAAAGTAAATCTAAAAGTTATTAGACAATAAAGAGCAATGTTAATGATAATTCAGAGATTTAAGAATGGAACTTCAAAGTTTTTATCATTTGATATAAATTGTATATAATATCAATTACGTGTTAAGTTATATTATTGAAATTTGAGCATCATGCCAAGTTAGGAAAGTTGTGTAAAGATCATTTTAACTTCTTATTTAACTAGATTAGAGTAGAAACTCAGAATTGGCCACTTTACAGATCAGTGTAAATAGAACCATTGCCATTTTCCTGAAATGGTCACACCTGAGTGAGAAATGTGCCTTTAAGACACACGCTCACCAAAAACTCATAGCAAAGTGGGGAGATTTGTAAACAGAGAGCTACGTCTGTTCATTGCTGTCATCTGGAAAGTATGAAGTGCTTAACAGTTATCCTAGTGGAAACCATCTATATTTTTCCATTTGGCATTCAGCAAGTAGCATTTGACTGAATTGTAATTTTCACATTAACCAGTCTCAAAGAGAACATCTGACCAGCACCCACACAAACGGTGTTGTTGTTTAGTAAGCACTGACCCCTGAGTGGGTTACAATGAATGGTGTTAAAACTTGCGTCTGGGCCTCCCCTCCCGTGTGTTTCAAAACCTTGATGGATAAAACAAGACATCCATTTCAATAAGCCTCTGTGAACATTGAATCATATCATCATTAGCAGCCACCAGCAGAGAAATGAGCCAGATGTAGTGCGATCATACCTACCGGGACAAGCTGTGAGAAAACGGACCATAGAGTGTATGTGTGTGTGTGTGTGTGTGTGTGTGTGTGTGTTGGAGGCGGAGGGACTAGGGGCTTTATTTGTTCATCTGTCTCAGCGTGTGTGTGAGTTCTGGAGAGCTACTCAATGAGGAAACATCTGAGAGAACCACAGGACTCTCTCTAACTAGTGTGCTACTTTTAACACGTCACCATGAGGGTAAGTGAGTGGTTTCCATTCCATTCTTTTATCTGAGTTAGTTTTACTGCGCATATAACGTGTATTTAATCCAAATGTACCATAAACTAGTGTTTAATTACTAATATTGTACTTTTACACACATTAGTCTGACTTACAGTGTGTTGTCATATATTGGTATTTACATATAGGTATTTAGTCGTATTCCCTCATGTGTTGTATTAGCACTCCTTTACAGCTCAATTAAACAACGTATTGCTTTAGAAGTGTTCAGGTAGCGCTGGCTTTGATTGAAAACATTCATCAAGCCTGGCTGTAAACTCCAGGATCAGAGGCTCAACAGGCCTGGATGGAAGCAGATCAAATGATTAGACTCCCTCCTACGGTTCCCTCAGCCTCTGTGTGTTTCAGAGCACTTTTAATACTCAGGGTGTGCCATGATCTTAAACAATTTCCTTCCCCTAGGGGGACCAGCTAATGACAACTACAGAGGGCCCTTTTAAACTCGTAAATGAGTGTTGTGCACATTGGGGTCTGTCGTAGTCCTGGTCTAAAGTGGGACTAAACGTCTCTTTTAGAATTGAGAACATCTGTGTTCAAGGTCTTGACAGTTTTTGATCGAAAAATCTCTAAAAATGGGAGATGTTGCTCTTGACCCTTAAGCAGAGATAATTAGCTGTTACAGTATACAGCAATTATTGGTGCAAATTGTAGTTGACGAGAAACTTTCTGTGATATCACCTCTTCAGTATTAGAAGGGTGTTTGGGTTGTTACGGAGCCTGGAAGCCTGAGGAATGAAAGCAGGGGGGCTTTTCATAATTCAGACGTGTGATTTTCTTGATGAGACAGCCTTGTCAGGTGAAGACATGTTGATGTGGTTCTGATAGGTGATTGAACATTCTTTTCATCATTTCATATTTTTAAGTGATTTATGTCACAGTGGATCAGTTTCAATGGTCTCTCTGAGCCACCTATTTAAATTCAAGCTAAAATCATTTTCATTTGGTAATTTGGATGGAAGATTTTGGTGCTTTTTGATATAGAAACATCTCTCTGTCTGTGATTCGGTAGTTTGATGGGAAAGGGCCATGGGAACAGTCTGAACCGATTCCCCTCAGCCATGTTTCTCGTTTCAGTGTGATCCTGGAGATTCGGGGGGGCTGATGATTACAGGTTGAGCTAATTAAGGGTTTGTAGAATACTCATCACAGTCCTCCACAAATCACACTGTGCTCATCTAGTAGTCTCTAGAGCACATCAAAGAGAGCACACACAACCTGCTGGAGTACCAGCATGCCTCTTTTTGTTTATCTTCCTTTTCTGCCTTGGATTTAATCATGTGCAATTATTTTACATCCTACAGCAAGGTTTTGTAGTCAAGGTTTGTGATGGAGCGGCTCGAGAGAGATTGATATTTTATGAAAATTAAATATGTATTTTAAATGTATACTACCATTTAAAAGTGTGGGGTCAGTAAGATTTCTTAAAGTTTTATATACTCGCCAAGGCTGCATTTATTTGATCAAAATAGAGTAAAAACAATAATATTGTGATATATTACTAGAATTACTAGCATTTCTTAAAATCTCAAAAGGAAATATTTATTAAGTAATTATATAATTTAGATCCTAGGATAAAAGTTTGTAAGATAATAAAGAGATAATATACAGATTATGGTAAGTCTGTGTAATATTCACATATTGACATAGTGAAAAAAAATATAGTAAAATGTATTTGAAATTCTTTTGTGCTATTTTTTTTGTGCTAAGTATACTACAAATACATTTGCATATTTATGTGCTTAATAAAAATACCCTGCAATTGTACTTTTGGTATACTAAACTGGTATACTTAAAGTCTGCTAAATTGGAACAACTAATTTTGTGCTTAATGCACTTTAATTGTGTGGAAATAGTGTTGAGGTCCAACTAAAGATATACTTAAGAATATTTGATTGTGCTAAAGTGGAACTATTGCAATGTATACTTCAGGTACACTTTAAATATCTTGCATTTAAAGATGATATTATACAGTGATCATACAATCCTTATTAATAGTGATATTAAAACACATTTTAGGCATAAGAAATGTGCATTGTACTATAAAGAAATTCTCCAAATTAAGTTTAATTATTATTTTATACCAGTAAGTCTTAAGTGATATGTCAGAAAATATGTTAATGGATTTGAAGTATACTTAGAATGAAATACATGAATTTTAAATAAATCATGTCATATGATTTTATACTAGGGGAGTGTCAGCCAATCATTGAATGTCATCAAGTATATTTAAATTCCCGAGCGCTCATTGTTCTCACAGTAGTAACTCAATGCCTAGCTGCATAATTTAACAAGAAACTGTACTTGCATTAATAAATTGCATTCATAGAACCCCAAAACCATTGTTAAATGCATTTTTCCACACAAAATATTACAGCCAATTTTATAAGCATTTCTAGATATTAACATATCGTAAAAACATTAAAGTTTATTTTTTCCATTTGCGTACCATACAGACTGTGTTACTCAGCAGAGTCGGTGCCTCAGTCTGGGGCAAATGGCATGTAATGGCCAAAGGTCACACTGAGAATGTGTCATTGAGGTGGGCCCGACTCACTTAAGAGGGCAGCTGTTACCACATTCAGACCCCCCAGGCTGACATTACATGAGTTCTGTGTAGTTGCGTAGTTTTTTCAGTGTCTGCCGTAAGAGAGGGCCTGTTCTGACAAGCGCTGGGTGTTTGTATGTGCTGAAAGCAGGGCCGCGTCCTCTCGCTTGAGGACAGGGTCCTGATAAGAGTCTCTCCAGACAGTGGCGCTTCTGTTTATTTCCTCTCCTCTCTTCAGATCTGCATCAGTAGGATGCTGAGTGCCAGAGGCTGGCGCAGAGGAAACTAGATAACGTGAGGGAAATGTTTGCCACCCCTGACTCATCTAATAGCTCATCTCTGTTGTGTTTTAGGAACGGCAGCGGCTGGAAACAATCTTGAACCTCTGTGCCGAGTATAACAAGGGAGACGGGCCGGCGGGAGATCTGGGGCTTGGCTCAAGGGACGGGCTTAACGTCAGACGTCCTTCCTTGGACAGTGTGAGCAGTGCTTCCCTAAGGGTGACGCAGAGACATCGTCAAAGCCAAGAGGAGAACCTGAAGGAGGACAGCAGTAACACTGAGAGTGCACAGCAGGACGGACGGACCCCACCAGCTCTGCTAAATGGACAAAATGGACAGGTCTGATTCTTTTTACTTCTTTAAATAAGAACAATTGTGGTATATATGTTTTTACTATTAACAATGTTAGTATCTACCTTTTTAATCAATTATACAATATTAATGTGCTTTTCGTATTACATATTTGTATTATTACACTACAGTTTAAAAGTTTGGGGTCAGTAGTGTTTTTTGGATGAAATTAATACTTTTGTTCATATTTTTATTCAAAAGTGACAGTAAAGAAATTCATAACATTACAAAAGATTCCTATTTCAAATAAATGCTGTTCTTTTGACTTTCTATTTATCAAGAAATCATGAAAAAATGTATTACGGTTTTCACGAAAATTAAGTCCCACAACTGTTTTTAACATTGATAATAATAAGAAATGTTCATATTAGAATGATTTCTGAAGGATCATGTGACATTGAAAATTCAGCTTTGCCATCACAGGAATAAATTGCATTTCAAAATATATTAAAATAGAAAACAGTTATTTTTAATTGTAATAATGTTTCACAATAGGACTGTTTTACTGTATTTTTGATCAATAAACTGCCTTGGTGAGCATGAGAGACTTCAAAAACATTACAAAAGAACTTACTGACCTCAAACTTTTGAGCAATAGTATATGTAAAAAGTAAATCATATAAACTGTGTGTGAATTGTATTTAGGCAGAGGACTCTCTGGGATCGGGCAGCGTTGGCCGTCTGGAACTGGGATACCTGGAGGAGGAGCGGGTTCGAGTGCTGGCAAAGGTAGATGAGCTCAAAGCTCGAATCACAGAACTGGAGCAGCAACTTCAGGAGTCCAAACAGGAGGTGAACCACTCTCATAAACATTTTTATATAGCTAGTTAAATACACTGAAGGATACACAGGAAGTCCTTTCCTAATTATAGTGGATAACAGTTGGAAGCAGAGGGAAGTGATGCATAGTGGAACAGAGAATGTCAGATGGAGCTCTTGGGTGTGTTTATGTGGCCTGTGTGAGAATTGCTCTATCTGATATGTTGATCTGGACAGGCGGAGATGGAAAGAGCTCTGCTGCAGGGAGAAAGACAGGCCGAGCTGGAGCAAATTGAGGCTGAGACAGAGATTATCAACCAGCTGCAGCGCAAACTCAGTGAACTGGAGAGCACCATTCAGAGAGAGAAAGACAAGGTAGGATACACACACCAAATAAAAGTTCACAGAATGTAATTGTCCATATTCTGAACATATTTAGGCATTCATTTTACATGTAGAAGTAAAAATGTTTCCATAAAGGTGTGGTCTTATTTAGCATTGCTTAGGAATCCACATCATCTCGAATTTCACATGAGGGTGAAAGATTTCCCCACGCAGATTTCGCAACTGGTAGGTTGGTCGTAAAATTGCCATGTTGACCAACAGAAATCTGCTTGATTTAAAAGTGACTTCATTGTAAGCTGTTCTTCATATGTATACACTATTGACAATAGACAATTTTTTGCTTGTGAAATATCGCCGAAATGTGAAATTTTGAAACTTCAAATGCCCAAACTGACTGTTTTGTGTTTTATACTGTTGAGCCTCTTTGGACTGAACAGCCTTTTCTGGTCTCTGACATTCCTTAAAGGCATGCCATTCTGCTGGATGGCCACTCAAGGCCCATTCTGGTCTCGATTGCCATCCCCAGGTAAAAAAAAAATAAAAATAACTAAAGAGCGACAGTGCTCATCCAAACTAGCCAAACTGCTTCCCATTACATCTGGTCATTCTACATTCTACAATAGAGGATCTGAAGATGATAGTCACATTTAAATGCAGTTCACTGGTTTTGTTTGGGCAGAAAGCCAAGGTTCTGTCTAGTAATCAAGCATTCATTCACAAGAGGTGTTGTCTTTTTCCTCTCCTTTTGTGGTGGTTCTCATCAGGTCCTCTACAATGCTTGGCAACACTAACAAGCCTTCATTAACCTCTAATCTCCTCACTGCTTTTTTCCGCACTGACAGTCTCTCCGTTTCTTCTGCTCGCCCCCTCGGGTTCAAAACTGTTTAGCTTAGCAAAACTCAGGCTTTGGGATTAGCGCACTGGCTATGAGGGACAATAGCTCCAGTGGTGCAAGACTCTGACTTACAGTGGGTGCCTTTTAGAAAGTTTTTTTCTGCACGCGGTTTCAGAATTCCAGCTTTTATTTCTTATCCATCAGATTCTGGGTTTCTCTGGGTATTTTAGTCTCCTTTTTCGATTCTGCCAAGTGGAGATATCCTTAAAGGAACAGTTCACCCAAAAATGAAAATTCTGTCATTATGCCTTTTGTTATTATGGACTTACTTTCTGTTGAACGCAAAATGGGAAATTTTGAACACTGTGCTCGGCGTTCTTTCCCATAAATTTTCAGTGAATAGGAAATGAAACTTTCAAACTTCAAAAAGGATGCAAAACAACATAAAAGTATCAGTACGACCAATGCACTTTATATTCCACAAAAAGTTATGTCTTGACGACATTAGGGGTCTTACTTGGGAACCCGAATCACCTCTGAGTTTAAGAGAAAAGGCCAATGAAAATTGGCGAGTGGATTAAGATAGATTAAGAAGATTAAGATAATGTTTATATTAACATCTTGATTTTCTGTAAAGCTGCTGAAATGTCATTTCAATATTTAATTTTTTATTATGCTTGTATGATACTTTGCACCTTTTGAAGCTTGAAAGCTCCAGTCCCCATTCATTGCAATTGCTTGGAAAAAAGCAACAAAAATAGTCATTTTGTGTTCCACAGTGGGGGGGAAAAAACTCAAATGGGTTAATAATGACATGGGCAACCAAACAATTTTCATCTTTGGATGAAGTATTCCTAAAAAAATGTAATGATATATATAAATATAAATATATATATATGAAGATAAATATATTTTATTCAAAGATATTGCAGTACTCTGGATTGCAAGAAGGTTTATATATATATATATATATATATAAAACAGGAGTGTTCATTCAGATCTTTATTGATCTGTTTGTTTGCTTTGAACCCATTGGCTACCACCACGCTCATGTTACCAGACCGGCTGTAATTTGTACTAGATTGATCTTGACTGCAAACAATCTGTGCAGTGTTTGTGCAAACATGGAAAATTCCCCCATAAACCTTGAAAATGGCTTTTTAAAGTTCTTTAAACAGAATCTGGTTCTGTCTGTGCTTTGATATATTGATGTTTTGACATGCCTTGAATGTTCTCATATTGGTCTGGAAAAGAAAACCATGCATGAATGCAATGTGCAGTAGAGTAGCTCAACATCTAGCCTTAGAAATATCCGAGGACTAACTATAAAAAAAAACAAAATCTGATGCATTATGATGCTATTGCAAATCTTTCTTTTTATGATAAAAGAAAGAAAAAAGGCCAGCTTCAAACTAGCCGACGATGCCAAACAAATCAATTCTTGCCATCTGATATAGCATAATATCATCTAAAAAGCACATACCAGTGGAAATTCATTACATCTGAAGTCATTGACCAAGAAATGCCTGAGAACAGAAGTCTGTTTGCCCCTGTTGATGGCCTACAGTCCAGTGCCACGTAGTTCATAGTATTTTATTTCCTCAAAAGCCTTAATTTCTTTTCGACTGAAGAAAGAAAGACATGAACATCTTGGATGACATGGGGGTGAGAAAATTATGAGGAAATTTTAATTCTGAAGTTAACTAATCCATTAAGGCCTGTTCACACCAAGAACGATAACTATAAAGATAACTATATTAGCGTCCACACCAGCGGACGATATCATCTGTTTGTTCCATGCGCACACTAGTCTGCCGCTTTAAATTCTTGAGCTCCTTATAGCAGGACTGATTCTGATTGACTGTCAATGTTTTTATCATTCATCAGCTGGAAAAAAATCGTTCTGAAAGTGATTCCAACGATATCGTTTCTCTGTGCCTTTATCGTTATAGCTGTGGTGTGGTCTCTGTGGTGTGCTATTCTTTAATATTGAGAAAGATTTTTAGAACTATATCTTTATCGTTATCTTTATAGTTATCGTCCTTGGTGTGAACAGGCCTTTAGAGTTCATCCTTTCTGGCTCCACCCACTCTGTTGTGAACTCTAACCACGGACGCTTCTGCATGGCGTGGATTTGAGCTGTGTTCTCTTTCTCTCCCCTCCCCGGATGGTGTGTTTTCTTTCTAGGAGAAGGCTAATGTTGAGGCGGAGCGGGAAGCCCTGAAGAGGCTTCAGGATGAGTACAATGAGTTGACGAGCCAGCTTCATAACTGCCCTGAGTCTCTGAGGGAGCAGTTACAGGAACAACTCAAGAGGGTCAGTGACCATCAGGAACATCAGCACTTTTAGAACTGCTTCCGTCCCACAGTCCTGGCTTTATAAACCCCACTTTTCAGATACACATTCCCAACTAAGCTCCTTTGGGTTGTCTATACACCGAATTAGGGTTGGGTATCGTTTGGGGTTTTTTCGATACCGGTGCCAAATCGATACTGCCTAAACGGTGCCTGAACCGATACTTATTAAAAAAATAAATAAATAAAAATTCCCCCCAAAAATGTTGGATTGGCCATTAGAATAGAAATAGAATAGAGAGTGCAAATGTTAGAGGGTCTAGTTTTTTAATTAAAAAAAACAAGCAGATAAAATTAGAAGTAGCATTAGAATAGAGAGTGCTATTTTTCACGTGCGGTGCCAGTGATGATGCTTCTTACGTCCGTTTTGGAGAACCAGAGGACAAATATTTCAAGCGATCGCTCAGTCATGGCACTGAATTGAGGCACCGAAATCTGCGTTCTGATTCGGTTCTAGTACATACCGGTTACATAGGTACCGGTGCCATATTGGTACCGGGTTTCGGTACCCAACCCTACACCGAATCCACCATGATGATCCTAGTAGAACCATTATTCCATGTTTATTATTATTAAGAATGATTTCTGCTGGGAACATCATGTTTTTATTCTTGTCTGCCTTAGTTTAGTGCACTGAAGAAAGTGTCTAAATTCCTTATGGGAGGTAAAGTGGTGTTAATTGGTGAAATTTTGCATGTTTTCGACATTTTTGGATGTATTGAGGTTTCTTACATGCTACTGTCTGCTGCCAAAATATTAATAACACTTAACAATGTACTAATCTATTAATGCAGAAACTAACGTAATGCTAGTTTTGTTTTGATACCTCTCACTTCTCTCACATGATTATTTCCCTCAAACCAGTTAAGCAAAAACCCCATCCAGTCGATTTCTTTGGTCAAATCAATCATGCCGTCACAAGTCAATAAAAGCTCAGTTTAGAAAAATCAAGAATGAATCCGATCACGACAAACATGCTATTTATCTAGAAGTGCAACCAGTGTTATTATAAGGTAAAGGTTAGGGTTAAGGATAGGGTTAGGGTCAGTATTTGTTTAAGTATTATATAGGCAATCAGCTGTTATTGACATGCCCAATAAAATCTTTAAAATCGCTAAAGGGTGAAAAATCGGGCTAATATCGTGCAGTGTGAACTCGGCATTAGCTTGTTTAGGGGAAAATTATGCATTTCTTTCTATATACCCGTTACAACCACCTGGCTCTGGGTGAAGTAACATTACCAAAAGGGGAGGCCACACAGAAGACTTAAGTTTAACAAATAAACATTTAATCAAGAATAAATCAAATAATACAAAAGTTAAGTACAAGTACAAAGAAAGAAAGAACGAAAGAAACAAACAAAAGAAAACAATCCAGGGCTGGAGAGGGAAGATGAACGGCAGCCCAGTCCAGGTTCCCACTGCTCTCTGAATCTCTGTCTTTTAAACCCAAACGCCAAATCACAGGTAACACTCCACACCTGTACCTGACGCTCGCGCTGAAGGAGAGGCAAAACCACGGAACACCACCACCTGGTGGACAAATATTAGAAAGAACACACTGAGCCGTAACAATACCACACAGATTATGATACTTTGGCCAAAAGATATTTTTGCAATGTATTTTGATTTGATTTGTGTAAAAAGACACAAAAATACAAAGCATACCAGGAAGTCTCTGTTTAAAATATGAAGAAATATCATATTTATTGTGGTTTGCATAGTTGAAGGAATCTCATCGGACAGTGCTCGGGCAGTGTTTTTGATGACTAGCCCTTTTTGCAGGCAGAAATATCCCAAGGGTTGCACGAGAGAGAAGTGATGTCATGTGCGCACTGAGCCTTCAAGCTTCACAGTGTCAGAAATGCTTTGATGAATTGACAGCAAGGGTTAGCCAGTGTCCTTGAGATCTGTATATAGAAATGACAAGACTTTTCATAAGATGAATTTATGATCTGAAGTCTCAATGTCATTCCTCTTTTTTCAGTCTTTCCTAGTTTTACCGTCCCAGCTGACTGTTTAAATGATGTTTGATGTACTTGGGTTTCAGTTGTGTGTATTATGATAGATCTTTAAGGATTCTGGAAGAGTGTATTATTTCCACACAGACCTGAAATTACTGCAGGAAGTCTTTAAAATTATATATAAACCATAAAAAAATATCTTAAGAATATGTAGAAATTGTATATATTTTAAAATGTATTTCTAAATATGGTTTATGTAATATTAAATTAATTAATGTTACCCATACCTGTTTCTATACCAATCATTTTCAATAATTGAAAAGAAAATTAATTATTTATTTACATTTAAATAAAGAATTAATGACTATAAGTAGTATTATTAGTAAATGTTTATTTAATAACAAATAATTTAGTTAATATTTTAATCAAATACATTTTAAAGTATTTTTACTTTTTGGATTGTATTTGGATAAGGTTTACAGACCATGTTGCATAACGTTCCTACTGGTTCCTCCCTGTGGCTTTTTAAGCTTACTCAGCTTGACTGCTGCAGAGCATGCTTAATGCTGTCATTTTATGGGATGCTTTGACTAGTGTTTGACCCTATACTTGGATGTACGTGTGTGTAGGAAGCTGAGACCATTGAGGTTGCAACTAAGCAGTTTGAGGACTTGGAGTTCCAGCAGTTAGAGAAGGAGAGCAGTCTAGAGGAGGAGCGCGAGACCATCACCCAGCAGCTGCTGCAGGACAGAGCTCAGTACCACAGCAGCATCACCAAAAGAAAGGTAAATGAAACTTAGACACATATAATAAAGCATGGATGCACCAAGAGCATCTCAACCTAATGTCCAAATTGTTGTTTCCAGGAAAAAGTTGTGGCATTGGAAAGCCAGGCCAGTCAGTTGGGAATACAGGCCACTCAGGAGTGTGAGAGACTGGCCAAGGACAGAAGTATGACCTTGCAACTGCTACAGAAGGTACAAGAAATGAAAATGACTTCCTATATTCACTTTTAATGTTCTTGCTCATTTTAAGAGCACTTTAGGATGAGGACTTGCACCAAATTTCTCCAAAACCTCTTCCATATCAATGTCTTCGTGGTTGCTTGGTAAAAAAAGACCAACTTTTTCAAAAGTTTAGCATAAAATGATTGAATTAAAATCTGTGCGTTGGGAAATAACTAACTAAAAGTACTCATTTGAATTAATTGGTTTGTTTGGATAGTTTGTGTAAATGAACCGTGTCACTGCCCACCCTTACAAAAAAGAAGTTTATTCAAGTGTGCTATTAGTATACTTCTTCTAAAAGCAAAAGCTTCTAAAAAATAGGAAAGTATACTTTCAGTCTACTTTTTATGTAGTTCTCAGAAATGTGCTTTATGTACTTCTCAGAAGTATACTTAAAATGACAAGTATACTTGACTTATACTTAGAAAAAGAAAAGTCTATATAGAAAAAGTCTATATATATTTGAGCTATAGCTACTTGTGCTCCGGGAATCCATGTTTTCATTGTTGTATGGTAGGGGGCGCTATTATACATCTTCTGTACAGAAACAAGCCAAGAAGAAACCGAATCCACATGTAATGTCACACGATCAGACATAAAACAGCATCAAAACTGTGTAAAGTTACTGTCAAGCTTTGGGGTGTTGATCGACTCCATCTACATTTTGATTATCATTCTGAATCCAATTCATAGTCTTTTTTCAGCTTTTTGTTCAAAATGTTATTTCTTTTTTTAATTTTTTTTTTATGAAACTTACCCACATTCAAGTGTTTACAAAAAAGAATGCATGAAGCTAGAATAAAATGTTTTTGTTTACAAGCAAATACCCCGTTCTTTCTTTTGATGTTTGTATGTTCAGATAGCCTATTCATATAGCAAAATATATACAAATTAATACCTAAATAGGGACATAGTAGTATACTTAAAGTATGATGTAAAGTTCACTTAAAGAAAACTTACGAGTATAATTGCAGTATAAAACTACTAAACTAGTAGTTTACTGAGACTATACTTCTGAGTGTACTAAAAATGCTACAAGTATTTAATTAGTAAATAGTATACTACTAGTACACTGATATTTGTATACTTACTACATAAAGTATACTTAAAAATATACTGGAACTTTACTTAAGTATAAAATAAACTTGAAGTATGCTTCTTTTTGGTAATTGCAAATATTTTTCTAGTTTTATTAGTTTTCAGTTGAGATCATGATTGTTTTTGTTCCATATAAGTATTGCTTTGATTTGATTATAAAAAACAAAACAAAACATTCCTATTCAAAATGTTTTGGGTCAGTTAGATTTATTAGTTGGGTTAGATAAGTGTCTTATGCTCACCAAGGCTACATACATATTTGATCATAAATACAGTAAAAACTATTGTGAAATATTATTATAATTTAAAATAACTGTTTTAAATTTTCAGCAGCCATTACTCAAGTCTTTAGTGTCACATGATCCATCCGAAATAATTCTAATATGATTTAGTGCTCAAGACATTTCTTGTTATAATCAATGTTGAACACAGTTGTGCTGCTTTATATTTTTGTGGAAACATCATACTGTTTTTAACTGATTGACTTGGAATCTATGTTTCAGGAAAAGGAAAGGCTAGCTAATCTGGAGAGAAGATACCAGAGTTTAACTGGTGGAAAGACGTTCCCCAAAAGCTCCAACACTATAAAAGAGGTAAGCAGAACTGTCATCAAATGCTTCATGAGCCTGTTATGCTAGGCTACAAGATATAACTGCTAAATATTTGCTCCCCTGCTTGAAATTAGAATGTATTTGTTGGTTAACGTATTTTTTAAATGTTTAGTTTTTTCCAAGTACAAATGGGACCTTCAAATGGTTGATGGGGACCCGTAGTATGTTTCTTAGCAAACATTTTGCAATCCATCTTTGTAGTTTGGTTTTCTTGGGCTAGGAAAGCTAAGGTTTAGCTTTGTAGCCAGATGTTCCTGGTAGCATATGCGTCCCCTGTGCCATCCCATAACATTTTGGTTAGCGAAACAGGAAATGAAATCTTTTAGACTCAGGATATGGTTTGACTTATAAACCTCCGCCCAGGATGTGCTTCACATCAGCGAGGCTGACCTGTTAGACGATGACCACCCCTACTCCTCCCCCTTTCATGCTTCCTCATTCCACTCATATCCCATGGTGCCTCAGGAGGTAACTGAACTAACTGTCGATGCATGCAGCCTGGAGCGTGCTCTGAGAACATGCCAGTACAGAGCATCTCAATTTTTGTTGCCTTATGGAGAGCAATTGACTTGTTGGGATCTCATGTTTGCAGGCTTCCAAAGACAAATCACACTTCCTCTGAAGTTTTGGAAGAGGTTTATTGATTTTGTATGCAGCCAAGGCGCTTAGAAAAAGTTTCACATCAACACATCAAGTGTTAGGAAATAGCTAACAAATTTTGCCATTTGAGTGAATTGGTTTATTTAGATTCAGCAAATGATTTACAGATAAATTTTATCCACTGTGTTTTATTGTTTTATTAGATTTATAACTGAGATCATAATTGTTTTTGTTCCATGTAAATATTGCTTTGATTACACAACAAAAAAGTGAAAGAATTATCTTTCTTATATTATTGTGAAAGAAATATCGTATGCTTATGTTAAGGCTTTATACATATTTAATCAAAAATACAGTAAAAAAAGGAATATTGTGAAACATTATTAATTAATTAATTGATATATATATATATATATATATATATATATATGTATGATTAA